CCCCCCAACACAACAGCTTGTGGGACAGCATTGAGTGTGCCGTCTCATACAGATTATTGTTATCTGAATTTTTGGTCAACGATTTCTCAGCCCAGTCTCATACAGATTATTCTTATCTGAATTTTTGGTCAACGATTTCTCAGCCCAGTAGTATGTTCCTGCCTATGTGTTTTACTTCATTTCTCCCTCTCCGTCTCGCCCTCCCTCCTGTGTCCATCCTGCCCTCTCTGTCGCTCCTCCTTTTTTCCTGCAGGCTGTACCACCTGGAATAGTCATGCAGAACACTGCCTCTCCTTCATTTCTTCAACTTCTATTCAGGAGCCGCATTGGCTCTCTCACCGGTCTGTCCCGTCTCCACACCTATTCATTTTTTGTCCTCTGGTTTTGCCAACCACGATAGGCCTCTCTTAGACAATCCCAGAATGCCGGCAGGGAATCCTGGTCGGGCACATCTTTGAAGGAGGGAAAGTAGTTGGCATCAACAACAACATGGTCTCCAGTGAGGGACTGCACCACAACGTCAAACCCAAAAATGTGCAGTTTAAGAAGTCGGCTGAGCCACTTGGCAGCAGACCACACTGCCACCTCATCAAGCTGTCCACGCTCAACCCTCCTTGCTGCTGGAGCTGTTGACCTTATTTCCCAGGAAGAGGAGCTCCTCCCGTCTTTTGCAGCCTCGTCCTTGTCATTGCGGCTTCCTGCCACCGTGGCTCCCGATTGCCGAGGTGTTCCCAGGGGCAGAGATCGGAGGCTGTGAAATGTCATCGATGTTGATTGGCACGACTCTGACAAAGGAGTGGGCTTTATGAACTGTGCAGCATCTGGAGTCGAATTGCGGGTGCATACGAATACACGCTCCCCAATGACGTAGACCTTGTACTGCACGCTGCCATGGTCAACGTATTCCTGAATGACAGCTGGCAAGGGGAGCTTTAGGTCGGCGATACCCGCTCTTGTCCGAACGAAAGCCATGGTGTGCGCGTCTGGAATGCCACACGCAATCCGGGGCTTCACAATCCACGGCGGCTCCAGCTTGGCCTGACTGAGCGCTTCTCTAGCCACCGCCTCGGCGAAGCTGCAAACCGACACTGACACCGGGGCACGAACAATAGTTCCATTAGGGGTGGCAACTGCCTTCAATCCTTGCAGCAGGTTCATCATCGCCACACGATCGACGAGGATCTCGACGAACTCAAATGGATCAATCACACAGATGTGGCGGCTGGCCTTGGCGAGTCTCCAGAGGTGCGTCATGCCATTCGAAAAGGTCACCCTGGATTCGGTAACTGCTTTCACACGAGAGACCTTTTTGGCAATGCAGTGCATTTCTTTCTCATCCCTATTCTCGTCGTCTTCAAGATTTGCTCCATCACGATGACCTTCTTTTTGACCGGCAAGCGTGTGACTAACGGACGCAATCTCGTCAGTGGCTTTGTGCAGGAGCAATCGCACATCATCAAGATGCCGATCCAGTGCTGGATGATTCACGTCAATAGGAACAAATGTAAGGCCAGCTGTGACTGCCAAAGGCAGAGCCCCACGCTTCAGGAAGGATTTCTCACGATCCCACTTCATTACATGTCCGACAACCACAACATCGCCTGCCACAGCCTGTTTACGCGTCTTGCAGATGTAAGGGATAACATCGCTCAGGGAGACGATTGTTCGGATTTGGAGGTTGTCAGTTGCAGCAGACCCTATGCCTATGCCTATGCTAGACTCCTCCTCGCCCTCCTTATCCTCCTTCTGCTTACCCTTATCTTCAGAGCATACAATCATGACCGTCATTCCCTGCTCCGCCAGCACCTGGGCTGCCCCAAACTGTCTCCCATTCCCATGTTCGTCGTTCCACTTCCTGCTGATGACCACCAGTACGCTTTCTTCTTCGCCAGCTTTGCCCATCTCTGCAGCAACGTCCTTCACTGTTTTGTCATTACCAACCACGAAAGCTTGTGGGAGATCGGACAGCCCAAGAACCTGCAAACTCTTGCTCTCTTCATTGTAAGAAGCTCTGGCAGTGTCCGATCCAAGCAAAATTCCCACTCCGATCTGGGCGTACAAGAGCCGTTGGATCAGCTTCGAGGCCTCTAGAAACTGCCGACGATGTTCTTCACCCTCTCGGGTATCCGATGCGGATAATCCCCGCTCACACTTTGCTGAAGTGGCATTTCTTTCCGGCGACGACGTGGCGGGAGGATCTGCGTCCGCTAATGCCTGCCAGTCTAGCAGCACGGCACCCACCGGAGGGATCGCGCTTTGCCTCCGAGAGTCCATCTGCATCCGCCCCTTTCCTCGCTTTTACTCTTTACACTCGGACTTCCCTGGATGGATCTGACGGCGAATAAGGCCCGCCGTGGTTGAATCTGACCGCAATTACGTCCACAGCGGAGTAGAACAGGCCCTAGCACGAGTATGCCTTCAGCTGCGCGCGCGTTCAATCAGCCACGTCACGCAGTTCATCCAGCTCCGGAGCTCAGCAGATAGCTGTGCGACACATCGAACTCAGGCAGGAGGTATCGCTCGGAACCTAGGGAAGGAGATAGCTGTGCGACGCCTCAAAACTATGGAGATAGCGGTGCGACACCTCAAAACTATGGACATAGCGGTGCGACACCTCAAAACTATGGAGATAGCGGTGCGACACCTCAAAACTATGGAGATAGCGGTGCGACACCTAAGAACTCAGGAGTGCTGCTCGGAGCCCAGGAAAGGAGACAGCAGTGCGACACCTCAAAACGCAGGAGATAGCTGTGCGACACTTCGGACCAAGGAGACAGCGGTACAACACCCCAAAAGCCAGTGCGACAACTCAAAACACAGGAGATAGCTGTGCGACACTTCGGACCAAGGAGACTGCGGTACGACACCTCAAAAGTCAGGAGATAGCTGGGCAACAACTCGAACGAAGGAGATCCCTGTGCGGCGCCTCAGAACCCAGGAAATAGCCTTGCGACACCTCAAATCTAGGAGAGAGACACGTCGGAACCTGAGACACAGAGAGAGCTGTGCGATATCACAGACCCAGGAAGTAGGTGTGCGGGCACCTCACAACTCAACACGTGTGCGACAGCCCCCAAAACCGGCATCTCTCTTGCATTCCGATTGAACAGTCAGGGCCGAGTCCCACAATCCCTAGTGCTTCAGTTTCCTCGGCGTTACGGTTTTCCGGGTTGTTTTCCCGGCTGAACCAACTGGCCTAACGGTAGCTCAGTTGGTACACCGCAGATGAGTGAAATACTCCAATTCTGGGGTCGGTCAGTTGGATGATGATCTGTCTCTTATACACATCTAGATGTGTATAAGAGACAGGGGGGGGGAAGGGGGGAAAGGGGTCTGGGAAATCTGAGGCAGGTCGCATGGGGATTGTACTGTCAATACTAACTGCCTCAGACTCTCCAGACCCCTACTCTTTCAATAGTAGAGACACAATGGTATGGGGAGAATTGAGCATTGTTGTGATGGGTAAAGGACTTGATGATTTCACAAAGGATATTATGGCGGCTGGCAGCAAACTGCAAGCAGAAGATTTATGCAGAGTAGGGATTAGTTAGTTGCAGAGTAGGGATTAATTCGTTCCCAGGCAATGGCTAATCCAGTGAGCAATCAATCAGGCGTGAACTCATTTGTCAATCAATCAATTGATCATCGAATTGTTATGTACCCGATTGAACTTCAATCCACAACGAAGTCACACGTTCCCATACACACATGCAATTGCAGAGTAGACTCGAAGGAGGCAAATCCACACAAAACCGGAGAGAAAGATATATGCACAGCGGAAGCTCAAAATACACAGAGAATTGAAAAACGAATTTCAATTCTGAATCCCTCGTCCTCCTCCAATAAATCCAGAAGAGTACTTGTTCCAAGAATCACAACCGCGCTTACAACAACCCCGAGCAACCAAAAACAAGACTGTGTTCAACGAACGAAGCATGCATGCAGGAGTCTTCTTCTTCCTCCTCGCCACCTTATACCCCTCCCTGGCTATGGCTGCCGTAACCGCACTGGCAGTAACCCCACAGCTGTCACAACGTGCCAATCTGAACCAGCAACCCTAATGATAACAGCACCAGCTCAGCACCCGCACGGAAGTGCAGCACTGGAAGTCCTGATGAAGAAGGAGACAATCGATCCACCACTTCGAAGAAGACAAAGTTCCTCCAGAAGAGGAACAGCAGATATTGGCTGCCAAATGGAAGACAGCAGCACCCAAACCCAACAACACAGTCCTGTGGAAGTTCTCATGCAGAGCTGCAAAATAGCGGCAGTGCGATCTTCAACTTCGTTTCCCATCCCCAGCTATGACTGGGCTTCGAGGAAGAAGATGACCTCGCCCAAAATAGAGCAGCAGCGCTCCAACAACGGATGGGCAGAGTTTCCCTAGCCAACGAAAACATGAAAAGACCCCAACCAAATTTCCTGCCCGCTACTTCTACTCTCTGCCTAGACCTACGACGGCCTCCAAAGGCAACAACCCAATACTCATCTGCATCTAGATGGAAACAGGGGACCTAGACGTACGACAAGGCAAAAGGAAAAGGCCGAATGGCCTAAGGCTACCAAACACAGACTACTAGCAACAGACTCAGGGACCAAGTCCCATAGCACTCACAAACAAAACACACGAGTTACAGGTCACAGCATCAAATCCCGCAAGGCTCAAAACAAGAAAACAGACTACAAAGCCAAACACTTAGTGTACAGCCCAACTGGGAAACAGCTATTTATTGCAAAATAATCAATCAACTATCTGAATAATGGCACTGACCCCATGAGCAGATCAGGTTGTCTGTTTAGTCTGCTCCGATACCAAACTGTTGGATGCCTATAAAAAGGCTACTAGTAGCAGATTGGCATGGTGCAAGAACCAAGTAACCGGACTGTCGCCCCCCCGAATAGAAGGGGTATCTGCGTGAGTGTGTGGTTAAAAAATACAAGGAAAACTGCATCTGTACCACATTTAAAGATGGGAATACCCAGTATACCCAGTCCAGCACCCTACTTTTCCCATGCGCCAACTTACACGCGTAGCCAGTCCCACAGGCCCTTGTTTGGGGAGCACAAAATTATGCTTATGCCGAAGAACTGGGTGGGCAAAATTGGGTATGTACATAATTTGCCCGGGCCTGAGCATAATTTGAGCATTCCAGAAGTTGGGTATAACTGAAATTTGGTGGTGCCAACCTTGGCCCACCTCCGTCTTGGGCAGCACATGATTTGCACAGACCGTTTCCCGGGTACAGATGCAAGCTGGGCATCGGGACTGGGTATAGCGGGTATTCCCATCTATAAATGGGGTACAGATGCAAATTCATGCAATTTTCCAAAAAAGAAAAAAGAAGCAAGAAAAAATAACAATGACAATGCAGAGGAAAACTGAAGTGCTCAGATATGCCCAAGTGGGCTAGCTCAGTTGGTTTGAGCACGGAAGTGGTTTGCAGGAGGTCGTGGGTTCAATTCCCCACGTCGTCCATTCTATCCCCATGGCCTCCTGTGATGCACTTCGGGTTCTCCACTGGAGATGATTGGCTTGGGCCTCCTGCCTGGCTGGGAAGCGACCATTTGCGCCTTCCAGCTCTCGCCTGGTGTTAGAAGCTTGGGTGCTGCTCCCCTCACAGAGCAGATGTGGCTTCTTAACTTAGGAGAGATTTCCTGCCCTGGGCACGAAAAACCCTGTAGTGGATTGTTAAGCTGCGTGTAGGTAGGTAGGTAGTGAGAGATATATCAAGAGAAGACTATAGGTTAGTTAAAAAATAAAAATAAAAATGAAATGCTCAGATATGACTCATCAAGGCTCAGGACTGCATACATACATCCATCATCACTCGTGCACAGGGATCGGCACGGTGACTCACACACAGAAGATAGCCGCCAAGTCCTCCATACATCCACAGAGGAGGAGACGGGTGAACAGACGAAGAGGGGCAGGCAGAATGAAGGGAAGACTGCAACTCAATAGCCCTGCAAAAGAATAGTCTCCACAATAGTCCCCCAAAGTGTCTGTCCAGAATAGAATATCGGATACTGGGCAATAGCCCAGATGGTCGCCCCCCCTCTTTTCTCTCTCTCTCTCTCTCTCTCTCTCTCTCTCTCTCTCTCTCTCTCTCTCTCTCTCTCTCTCTCTCTCTCTCTTGCCATCACCCTCGCCCTCGCCGACCCCCACTGTCACCGCATCCGCCCGCCACTGCCGCCACCGCCGCCGTCCGCCATCGCCACCGCCGCCGCCGCCCGCCATCGCCATTGCCGCCGCCTCTGCCATCTCTCTCTCTCACCCACACACACACACCTCTCTCACTGTCTCTCTCTCTCTCTCTCTCTCTCTCTCTCTCTCTCTCTCTCTCTCTCTCTCTCTCTCTCTCTCTCTCTCTCTCTCTC